AAACGGGAGGGCACCTGGAGAGGACATGATTCCCCCGGAGCTTTTTAAGCAATTATCTGACTGGTGGGCCCCAATATTAGCAAAGGTGTTCACTCAGATAAACTCTTCGTGTTCATTCCCTATTGGGTGGAAACAGAGAATTGTTGTGCCAATATTTAAAAAGGGTAGTAAATCAGATCCCCATAATTATCGCCTTGTCAGCTTACTGGACATAGCCTCCAAAATTTACAGCAAATTTTTATTGAGAAAACTAAAGGATTGGGAAGCTGATAATCAGATTATCTTTCCAGAACAAGCCGGCTTTCTGAAGGGCCAAAGCACCATCAATCATTGTCAGACATTGTATTGCCTGGCCATTAATAGTGTAAAGGGTCCTACTAAACATCTTTATGCAGTCTTTGTAGACCTTGCCACAGCTTTTGATTCAATAGACAGAGGCAGGCTCTGGATTAAGCTGGCAAATACTAATATCGACAAATATCTCCTGTACCTGATCAGGGAATTATACACTAATACCTCATCTAAAATAAGAGTGGGTATTACAGGATCCCTGACTGAAAGCATTCCCGTGGCTAGAGGCATGAAGCAGGGTTGCGTACTTGCTCATTTCTTATATTATTGTGAAGCTCTCAGGTGCTGATCTTTTTCCTCCCCATCTTGGGTCAAGAAAGATCTCGGTCCTCCTTTATGCCAACGACATGGTCCTGCTGTCCTTAACTCAAACTGGGTTGAGAAGGTCGCTGTCTAGGCTTAGTGCTTTCTGCAAGGAGGAGCACCTACCAATTAACTACTCAGAGACTAAGGTGATGGTCTTCGGGAAGTGGTGGTGCATTTTTAGCTGGACAACGGATGGGTTTCAGATAGATCAAAGCCAAACCTTTAAATACTTGGGTATTACCTTTAACGACATGCTTTCCTGGAAGACACATACAGACATCATAAAATCAACAGCACTTCGGGCTATGGAGACAATCCTTAAATCCTTCGGGGACTCTGGGGCAAGTGATGCTTTGTATTCTTGGTGCTTGGGGGGGGGTCAATAGTGGGAGGGCTCCTAGTGTCCTGGCCCCACTGCTGGACCTCCTGATAGCACCTGGTATTTTTGGCCACTGTGTGAAAGAGTGTTGGACTGGATGGGCCATTGGCCTGATCCAACATTGGCTTCTCTTATGTTCTTATGTTCTACCTTTCCAAAGAGGGATACCTGATAGAACCAGCCCTAAAGCTCTTCCAGAGTAAGATAATTACCCAACTTTTATATGGTGTTGAGGCTTGGGGATGGAATGATTCCCTGATCACAAACCTGGAGAAATACCCCAGATCCGCTGCTGAGAGCTGAAGTGGGTCTTCCCTCCCATTGGGCTTGTGCTCATAACATCTTTTTTAACTACTGGCACAGATTGAAAAGAGCTCCAGTAGATAATCTTGCCAGTCTCTGTTTTTCTGAAAGCCTGAAAGACCCTAATTGGCAATCTAAATATAATATGGTCCTTCAGATGTATAATGTGCTGGATGTTGTCCGTCGAACCTTTCAGGCCTATTTTGATGGCAAGGTGCAAATATACACACACGATGCTGGCCTAGACAGAGTACTAAAAAACAAATCATGTTATAAATTGATTATAGTGGATCATCGCAAGGCACATTGTTTGACTAAAATTCCTTTCCTCAACTTGCGTTTAGCTTTTACATCCCTCCGCTTCCAAACCATGTAAACAGCAGTGCTTGAAGGTTGATATAACAAAATACCAGCAACTGAGGGCCTTTGCATATGTGGTGGCCCAGACCCTGAAGATCTGTGTCATTATTTGCTGGACTGCCCACTTAATTCATCCCCAAGAAAGAAGTTTCTTGGCACAATCTTAGATAAATCCGGCCCCTGCTCCACATCTGGAAAAGTTATAACTTTACTTGCAGAGGTGGAGCCACAGTATTTGTACAAGGTTGCACTTTTTGCCCTAGCAGCAAAGAAAATTTAAATCAAGTTGACTAAATCTTTGCCTGCTAAATAGCCAGGGCTATGTCAAGGTATATAAGATCCAAACCCTATATTCATTCTGTATGTTTTAGTTTTTTATCTTATATTATTTTAAGAATGTAGCCAGCTTTATGCTTGACACTTGTCTTATATTTTTAATCCCTGTGTTTTAATTGTAGTTTTTATCCTGTATTTTATAGCTTCTATTGTATTGTACTGTATTTGTAATGGCCATCGGCCATCTCTCTTATATATAAAAGCCGAATGGCGGCGGCACTTCTCTAGAACATTCCACACGTTCCGGAATTGGTTGGCGCCCTGGTATGTCACTCAGAATCTGTCCCTATCCACTGGCTGCATTGCTTGAGTCTCGCCTCCAATATTCTAAACAGTTTGCTGTTCCTCCCCCCCCCCTATGCAGCCTCATTGGCCTTTGCCTCGGAACATAGAGGTCATTTGCATATGCGACTTGATTGGCTTTTGCCTCTAACATTCATGCTGCTGAGGTGGCCCCCGTATGACAGCCAATGTGCCGTAGCAGTCAGGGCTTCAGAGCACGGGAAAGGCTGCGGGTGTGTGAGGGGTGGAAAGCTGAAGAGTGAGGGGGAAATAAAGGTAGGTTGATGATTGGCTGGGAAGGAGATAGGGTTGCCAACTCCAGGTGGGAAATTCCTGGAGATGTGAGGGATGGAGCCTGGAGAGGGTGATGTTTCAGGAGGCGTGGGACCTTGGACAGGTACAAAGCCATAGACTCCACCCTCCAAACCAACCATTCCCTTCTGGGAAACCATCATTGCCAATCTCCAGGTGATGGCTGGAGATCCCTCAAAATTACAACTGTTCTTTAGGTAGCAGAGATCAGTTCTTCTGGAGAAAATGGTGGACTTAGTGTCATTATACCCTGCTGAGGTCGCCACAGCAAATTGACACTGAGTGTCCAAGGCCGGGGCACCTGCCCAGAGCCTCTTTCTAGAGGCTGTTGTATTTATTTCCACAACAGCCTTTTTCCTTTTGTTGTTGTTCAGTCGCACAGTTGAGTCCGACTCTTCGCAACCCCATGGACCAGCTCCCGCCAGGCCCTCCTGTCTTCCGCCGTCCTTTGAAGTTTGCCTTTTTCCTAGTATGCAATAAATTGGAAATCAAATCAAATCTACTCTGCTTTCACTACCTGTTGTCAGCCCACTAGATCATGGAGTAGTTTCTCATTTTCTTCAATCAGTCAATGCCTGAACTAGGATGAATCCCTATCAGTAGACATCTCAGCATGCTGCATTCACAGCTTCAAACTGCAAGGGGACAAATGCATGAACATGGTTTTGGTAGTTCTTTCCACTCCAGTGTGATATCAAGAACTTCTGTTACCCACGGGAGCATCTTCACTGCCTTGGCAACTCAGATGTAGTCCACTTCCAGGCTGATTCTGGTGGCTGGGGTCCTTCCCTTACAGTTGCCCTGGCAACCGAAACTGCTGTATCTCCTTGCTTGGTTCCTGCTGCCCAACAAGTTTCTTTTCATAGCATTTGATACTGACATGATGGAAAGTATGTTTTGGCTACTCTGGGTCTCATGGGTTGTGGGATTCCACAAATGGATATACTTTGAAATTTCATTACAAACACACAGTAATCACAACCTTACAAAAGATTTAAATTATAAAATTTTGTTTGTTTGGAACAATGACATTAAAATAGCAGGATAAGTGAAACAATTACTTGATGTAATTTCTTTATAGCTTTTCCCATTTTCTAAAAAAAGCTCCCATGTGCAAGTACAATTTGGCTGAAAGTATATTTCACATTCCTCTTAATGCTGAGCCAGGAACAGATGAATAATCAATTTAAAATAGAGAAGAAAACAAATCTACGCTCCAGGCGAGAAAACCTGATTTTAAGTCTACAAAAATGTTGAGGATCATACCAATTAAGTATAGCTAGCCTTGGTGCAGGGGCAGATTTTTCTACAACTTGGCACACCAGATCCACTCTCGTCTTTTAAAAATGGCACAGGTCTGGACTTGGGAGGATATATATATATACCTATCATATGACACACATATGAATATAATTAAAATACCTGGAATGATTAGGAAGCCTAATAATGATCTACCCATGTTACAAGATTTTGAATTGGTATATATTGTGGTGGTGCGTGTTGGAAGGAGCTCAGCCATGTATCTCCGCTACATTTTCAGTTTATCTTTGAGTATGTCAGACTGTTAGTACTTCTAAGGTTAATTCATCCATGCATGTAGATTACTTGATTCATCAACATTTGATGACTCAGCTGACTGTGAACAGACTCCACTGAACAGCTTTGTAGCTGAGGCAATGCAAGAAATAGGGACAGGGTACCTGCTATGGGATGGCTCATTCATACATGCAATTTGTCACAGTTCTGCATGCCTTTATGAATCTGAGCTAAATGGACTTTACAATAACAGGCAAGTGGCTTTATTCTGAGGTGCTGGTAAAGAACCCATCATCGGGCAGATTCACACATGCAAAACCATCACTTAATAGCTAATGTCATCACTTGATGACTCATTGCGCACATACGTGAATTGCCTCCATAGAAAAGCATTATGTTTGAGGTGATATGAAAGAACTTTGTGTGCCCTTTGATCCATAATGACTGATTCATGCATTTGAGTGTGAAGCTATTGATTGATGAATACGTATGAGTGATTCTGCTTTAGGTGTAGCTTACTAATAACATAAAGTAAGTGTGGGTCAGCAAACCATGTGCCACTGTAAACAACCATCATAAAAAGTAATCTGACAATTCTTTTCTACATACAAGTGATTCTTCACATTACAGTCTGAACAAAGTTCAAATACTCAGCCTACCTACAACAGAAAAGTCAAGTGATTAGAAAACTGGACACTGAGTTATGCTTGCTATATAGTTCAGTCAATTTCATACAGCAAGCCTCCGGTCTCATGAATTCTTTCTGTCTGGGTACATTTGTTTTCTTGCAAGATGAGTGAGATTTTTTTTTTTTAAAGAAAGGAAATGTAAGACCTTAAAAGGGAAAGAAAAAATAGCAGAGAAAACAAAAGACAATGAATCCGATGACCCAGTTGATAGAATAAATGTAGATTATCACCATGTCCATGTCAAACCGCCATCCTCGGCTATCATCCTCAAAGTCCATATAATCCATCCTGTGTGCAGCATGAGGGAAATGCCTTCGTGTAAAGGAATCTGTGCTCCTCTGAAAGCCTGCAGAAACAATTTCACAGCATAGTCAGCAATGTTTAAAAGACAGCAATTTTGTTCATATCCTTTCTTAATCTCATTGTTTTAGCTGCATGGAGGAAAGGAAGAGAAGATGAAAGCAGTATGCTAATACATGCAGTATGATGGTGTGCAAGTAGTCAGCGACACAATATGAGCGCCACATGCCTGTATGAAAGCCATTACACAGCTTATGTACTGACATGTATGAGGATTACAAACTGTGCCACAGTGCGGTTATCTGAGAAGCACAAAGTCCTTGTCCCCCCGATTGAAATTGTGCTGAGTACATCCTGTGCACGTGCAAAGTCTCAGAAAGCACAAGCAAACAAAGCATTGATTCAGTGAAGCTTTTTGCCTGTGTGGGTAGATGGGGGCAGGGTGCTGTCAAGCCAGAAGAGAGAGGAGAGAAAACACCGAACCACCACCCAGACCCCATTCTCTTCTTAACAGAGCTCAGATTCTTCTCTGCTTTATCTCATGCAGGACTGAATTAATTCTGTGTCACTCTCAGGTCACCTCTTTCCTAGGCTTGGAGAGTGTGACTACATATAGCTGAGTGAGGGGTCCCTGAAGGAGTCCCATTCTCAATTATCCTGGTTTAAGATCACCTACCCCATCATAAAGACTCTTTCCAATAACCAGGTCATGTATTGTTCATGCTACTGTTCATTAAATTGGTGTGGTGGTGGAAAGCACAGTCAGGTCACAGCTGACTTATGGCAACCCTGTGGGGTTTTCAAGGAAAGAGACATTCAGTGGTGGTTTGCCGTCGCTTGCCTCCGTGTCATGACCCTGCTACAAGTACAGTAAATTATGGGATGATAACTCCCTGTCTTTACCTCCCTTTTGGTTAAAAATTCGGCTTTTCCTGTAATACATGGTAAAAAGAAGAGTACCAGGGCAAAACGTTTTGCACTGCAGATCTAGTCAACTTGAATTTGGATCACACTTTACTCTGAAGGTTGGGGATGGGATAAAGCAAACTCAGAACAAAGATAAAGCAAGGTGTAACACCTAAAATGTCAAAATAAAAAGTCCTTCTCTGCAGTTCAATTAAAATACTAGATAACGTAATACTGAAACACTATTTTCTACTTTGAGAATGAAAATTTGTTTTCAGTTATCTGCAGATGCTAAATGCTAGGTCTAAAATTTATGCAAAACAAACTAATCTCCTCCCCCCCCCGCCTCGGCTCCAGCGGCGCGGCCTGAGTGGCTTCCAGCCGCCAGCCCCTGGCAATTTCCCCCCCCGCCGATCTCCTTCCCTCCTCCTCCGGCTCCAGCAGCTGGTCTCCTCCTCCTCTCCCCCTGCCTTGGCTCCGGCAGAGAGACCTGAGCGGCTTCCAGCCGCCAGCCCACTGCAGAGTTCCCAGAGCGTTTCCTGCTCATGCGCAGGAAATGCTCTTTTTCTTTTTGGGGGATTTAAATATTCCCCCCATATTTTTTTCAACTTTTTAGATTTTTGTGCACACCTGGGGACTGCCCCAAGTGTGCAGGAAAATCTCCCTGCCCCCAGGTGCCCCCAATGTGTGGATTTAGATATCCGCACGCAGGGGGCACCTTTGCTATTAGATATATAGATATCTCAGTCCCATACTGTTGAGTGTCACAAAAAATGTTTCACAAAAAGTGTCCACCCAAAATAGAGAGAAAATTCTGCATTAGCAGTATCTCCTCAAATGCATTGAATTTACCTATGATAATTTAATTTGTTTAAGGTTTCAGCTGAAAAATAAAGCCCACAGCCCAAATTTATATCGACTCTTTAAACAGTTTCTAAAGCATTCTTTTAGTGTCTTTGAACCTTCTAAATATTGCTCCAAAATGAAACACCAGGTTTTTATTTCATCTGATTTCCATGTTAGAAATAAATGTGTAACTGCCAAAGCCCTGCCACTGTGGTGAAAACTACTTGCTCTCCACACATAAATCTTCAGTGTGCAGCATGCTCTCTAGAGGGCTCTAATCAAGTTGGCTACATGTGATTCACTTGTATTTATTTCCACTCTTATAGCAAATATAACACAATACGCCCGAGGGCTACTTTTGCATCAACAACTTTGAATCATCTTGTAATCACTAATCATAGCATAATTATGCAAACACTTAGTGACATTAGTTGTGACTAGCTAAGTCGCCTCAGTTGAGAAGATTTAGATGAATAGATGTAATGCCTGATTTTATCTCTATGTGATTTACTTTAAGCAAACCTGCATTAGATTTGCCATGGATTAGACTTTGTAATGTAATCATTCTACATTCAAGAATAGACTTTTATTACTGTAATTGTTCTTGCTGTGGAAGTCCACAGAAATATATCTCATGTTGCATTATCAAAACATTTGACCTGGTTTTGCCCACCTGAGCCCCATGGACAGCCCCCACTGCATAAATCCAATGATAAATCAAAAGCCTGAGATATATCGTACGAGCAAAAAACTGGAGGTCAAAAGTTAAGGCCTTTACAAATTCATTCATGCATCAAAAGCATGAAGCTCTTACTTTAACCTAAGACACCATATAAGCAGTAAAGATTGTTGATGTACAATCTTCCACAATGAGCTTGCTTATCCTTTAGATGCCGCATGCCTACTTTTCCCATGGACTATTCAGTCCAAGTGCAGGTTGGAGGCATCAATGATGCTGGGGTTAGTATTTAAGGTAAAGGTAAAGGTTCCCTTGCTCGAAAACCAGTTGAGTCCGACTCTAGGGTTGCAGTGCTCATCTCCGTTTCAAAGCCGAAGAGCCAGCGCTGTCCGAAGACATTTCCGTGGTCATGTGGCCGACATGACTAGACGCCGAGGTGCACGGAATGCTGTTACCTTCCCACCGAAGTGGTACCTATTTATCTACTTGCAATTTCTTGCTTTCAAACTGCTAGGTTGGCAGGAGCTGGTGCCAGAGACGGGAGCTCACTCCGTCATGCGGCAACTCGGGTCTCGAACTGCTGAACTACTGACCTTCCAAAGCCTGCAGTTCAGCGTCTTAACCACTTGAGCCACCACAGCTCCTTTAGTATTTAACAAGATTAAATTAATTCTAGTAACCAACTTCTTGCAAAGCTGGATCCTAAGCTGTGTAGCAAAATGAATGTTTAACCAAAAGTAAACCCAACAAAATAATTATTCAGGGAATATTAATATGTCAGACTTGGAAACTTGATTTATTCGAATTGAAAATTATAAAATTTGAAAGAGAAAGGGGCAGCAGTAAGGTGCCGGTGGTGGTGGGGGATGTAGTAGAGTCCATCATGCTCAACTCAATTACACAATTATTAGAGTTACCAGCTCTGGGGTTGGGAAATACCTGGAGATTTTGGGGATGGAGCCTGGGGAGGGATCTCAGCAGGGTATTAATGCCATGGAGTCCACCCTCCAAAGCAGCCATTTTCTCCAGGGGAACCGATCCTGGTCATCTGGAGATCAACTGTAATAGCAGGAGATCTCTAGGTGCCACCTGGAGATTGGCAGCCCTAACAATTAGGAATAGGGTTGCCAAATCGTTCTTACCTCGCGGCGGGGGGCTCCCGTTCGGCGTCCTGAGCGCGTGCTGCATGCACGTCAGCCAGATGTGACGTGATGACGCCGGGCACGCTGGGGGCGGGGCCACAGCCAATTGAGGGGAAAACTCTATGTTTTCCCTTCAAATGGCTGTGGCCCCGCCCCCAGCGTGCCCAGTGTCATCACGTCACATCCGGCTGACCTGCACGCCGGGGTGGGGTTTCCCCCGGGGCCTGATTCTGCGGTGGCGGAAATCGGGCCTCCAAAACGGGGGGGAATCCGCCCCCCGGGGGGATTTGGCAGCCCTAATTAGGAATATATAATCTAAAACAGATCTCCAGTTTTGTTAGTATAATGACTACCATATATCCTCTGCTTTTGACCTTTTGAGGAACGCATGTATCTTTTGGTGTTAGAAAGACATACGATCACTTACTTTTAAAAATATTTTTCAAAGTGGAGGTTGCCATGTTTTTCATTCATGAAAGCTAAGGTGCAACCTGACACCAGCTTCACTTTATCTAATTAAGTCTAGCAGCATATCCGGCACAAGATGCAGCCAAGGGGTCATAACATCATGACTCAAAATGTCTTTTTCCCCCTCTCCTTCCTTTTGTTTTTACATCCAGCCTGATGAAAAGCTCTGAAAGACTTGGAAGTTTTCACACGCCTACATGATATTTGGGTTGGCCATAATAAAAGATATTACATGGCTTCCGTTTTTATTTTATTTTATTGGACTAACATGGCTACGTGGAACAATTACAAGTATGACAGGACCAGAAATGATTTTAAACGGAATTAATTTGGGTCATTCCTCCAACTTTAATTGAACTTAAGTGGATGGATACTCTGACAAGAAGAGAGAGGCCTGTGGATCACAATCTGTGACAAGCATTTTGTTCCATGTGTAGGGTTGCCAGCTCCAGGCTGGGAAACTCCTAGAGATTTGGGGGTGGAGCCTGGGGAGGGCAGAGACCTCAGTGGGGTACAACATCACAGAGTCCACCCTCCAAAGCATCCATTTTCTCCAGGGGAACTGATGTCTGTAGTCTGGAGATGAGCTGTAATACCAGGGCATCCCCAAGTCCCACCTGGAGCTGGCATCCCTATCTACCATGAGTAAGCACTCGGTTCCTTAGCTTACAGATGTGTTTTTGCTTGAGCAACATATATATTAGCAAGTTTTTATTTATTGCTTTGTTTCAGCCTTTGGAGATATGGCAGTGTATGTCTATATCTATATATCTATTTGTATCTATATACATACACGCATATACACACCTACACAAATTCCCATCAAACAAAATTAAACAAATATAAGGGGGAAAAATCTAAGGTCCCGGTCACACAGGACGGAAAATGCGGGGGGGGGGGGGAGCATGGCTCTTTGCCCCAGAGCAAAATAATGCGCGGCCGCACGATCACACGTCCTGTCGAAGTCCCGTGGTTAGGGGGTGAGGTGCTGATCACACGGCTATC